GATTTTAGGTAGAATAAAATTAATAATGGAAAAGCTGACAGGATCTCTTTTCTAAATTTAGCTTTTCTGCTGTCGAGGCCTCCTTTTACGGAATACTCAATGACAGGTGATCTCTGAGTTGACCAGCTTCCTTCGATTCATTTGCTTATGCTCACCCTTTCATTTACGGAAACGTGTGCTGATTTTATTCGGATTTAGATCCATTCGTTTCTCTTTGCCCTTGCCAACAGTGTGCGAAGAACGCGAGTTCACCTTCTTGACGGTAAGGCTTATGTTGCTGCTGAGGCTTTAAATAGATGTGTTGTCGAAATACTCATGTTCATTGTACATTGGTACGTTACAAGTAAGGCACTGGTCATGATTGCTTCCGGCATTCCGTGCTCCGATCATAGGGTAGAATCTGAATTTTGCAGCGGCATAGCATCGTTGGCAGTTCCCAATCTGGAGGGAAAGGTTCAAAGACGCATTGGCCGAGTACTAGTATGCAAAATAAATTCGCATATCAGAAAAAATCTCCATTATGGAGAGGTTCATGCATTCAGTAACTAATTACTTGTTTGCTTCATACGAAACAAGCCAATGGGTGCAGTCTCGTCTCGTGAAAATCTCGTACGATTGGATTTGTTTACTCGAGTCTGGGCTGTTTGATTTGTGAGTAGCGCCGAGATTGCACTGCCCCAAATAAAGTTGCGTGCCGGTAGAGCAAGAATTACGATCTGCAGTCTGTTTGTAGTACCTGCAAGAATGTGCTATACATGTATCGTATTTTCTCTGTTGTTGTTTCAGTTGCCGTCATGTTGCTAAAGAAAGGTTCAGTGACTCATTTGTTTCATAAAAGACGAGTCAATGGTTTGGTCTGGCTTAGAATCTTTCGCTGTAGAAGAAATCTATTCGTGTCTCTATTGTAGAAATAATTGTATTCACTCGTTATAAAATAGGGTTAACACAAACTCACAGAGCAAATGCCATCGGTCCCTTGATGTTCGTCCTAAAGAGGTTTGACTGGATATCATTCATACTCCCCCGAAGTCGTGTAACATTTTACTATTATGGAGTGCCTTGTTTATATCTCAGTACCTAAAACCATATATCCTTGCCGCTTATATCCTCAGGATCAGTGTAGTTGTTGGAACGAGGTGTCGGACTCAGCGATGTATTTGTTTACATTTTAATGCATGTTTCTTGTTCCTACTTTGCTGTTTTGTTTTAGACAATCGTTGACTTGTAACACTTTGAAGTCATTGAACTGCTTCCAAAAGTTTTATTGACATCAACAGGATTACGATTTCACTACAATATGATGCCGGATGACCTTATCACGACAACCCATGACTGCAATTATAAACACAGAATCAACAAAACATCTGCGGCACACACCTGGTTACAATGTGATTTAGGGTGTGGACATCTGAATTTTCTGAAAGACAAGACAATTTTATGACAGTCATGAAATTCTGCAACATCCACAGAATGACTTGCGTATAAAAAAAGGATCACCGCCACGACCCATATGATTCCCCTGCAGAAGAACATGAATACATGTATGCAAGACTAGTTCCATTTTCTGCAAGAAAAGGCTTGCACATCAATGCGTATAATACGGTATTGAATTTGATATGATACACATAGGGGCTCCCGTAAGAAGAACATAGGTCTGTGGGGAAACATCCTAGTAAAATAAATAAAATAATAATAATAACATGCAGAGGCGCTACATGTAGGCCATCATTAGGGCATTCCATTGGTTACACAATTATATCCTTTAGCCAAAAAAAAAACAAGAAATTATAGCAATAAAAACTGCTTTATGGCAGTTTTCTCAAAAAAAAGTTATTGTGTTCTAGTCCATGGACCTCGTCTAAAAAGTAAGAAATTAACGAAATGTGACAGCCGAAAATTAAAATTTCACACAAAACCTCACAATAATCACACACAGGATGCGAGACGACCTTTTCCCCTCGTGGTCCTCTTTCATATGCAAGCATGTTGGCGCAGTACATGTACTTGTACAAGTACAAGTGTCGGAATAAACAAGTGTTGAAAGCCGTACTATTAGATCTTCAAGTGTCGTGATTATTGTGAGGTTTTGTGTGAAATTTTAATTTTCGGCTATCACATTTCGTTAATTTCTTACTTTTTAGACGAGGTCCATGGACTAGAACACAATAACTTTTTTTAGAAAACTGCCATAAAGCAGTTTTTATTGCTATAATGTATCCTGGGGAGGACGAGATAGTGAGGGGCAGTCCGCGTACATGTAATAATGCATGTTACGAAGTCATGACCTGGCTCTGGATTTTAGCAGCCATGACTGTGAAGGCTATGGATATTTCTCTAATAATTGTATCCATATGCTCGTATCGCGGCATATGTCCTTTTCCTTTCTACATTTATTTATGGCTCAACATCCGAGTTTCAAAAAGAGGTATAGTTGATGTTCGGTCATGCTGGAAGGAGAGGTGGAGCTACGGGAGAGATGAGCTTATTCGCAGGGTGAGGGTGACATCAGTTGGACGAGTATGACGATTATGAAGGCAGTTGAACATGAGAACTGAATTTTCAAAGGTAAATCAAACTAATTCGGCAATGAAAAAATCATTTTAATGAAGTACAAAAGAAGTCAACTAATGAATTTATAGAAGTTATGTTTTCCCTTTTCCATTTTGATCTCTAGCATACATGGACACCTTGGTATGGGGATACTCGTGTAACATTTTGTTGTACTTATGGCCACTTGCAAGTACGAAAAAGGCACAATTTTCCGAACTTTGGGGCTCCATAATAGGCTCCGGCGGATTATGCTCGTGAAATCATGGAATTATGCTTTCATGGATTCTCGCAGTATGCCCGCAAAATCCTCATAATTATTATGCTTTGGCACGCGGGGATACATATTCACTTTGTTGTACTTATGGAGCCTCACAGTTCGGAAAATTGTGCCTTTTCGTACTTGCAAGTAGCCATAAGTACAACAAAATACATGAGTATCCCCTTACCAAGGTGTCCATGCATGCTAGAGATCAACATGGAAAAGAGAAAACATTACTTCTTCTATTCATTAGTTGACTTCTTTTGTAAAAATATTTCGTTGCCAAATTAGTTGGAGTTACCTTTGAAAATTATCATGTTCATCTGTCTTCGTAATTGTCATACTCGTCCAACCGATGTCACTCTCAACCTGTGAGTAATCAGCTCATCTCTCCCGTAGCTCCACCTCTCCTTCCATCATGACCGAACATCAACTATACTTCAAAAAATTTCAATATCCATAGCCTGCACACTCATAGCTGCTAAAATCCAGGGTCCTGACTATCTCGTCCGCTCCGTGCTACCTGATAAAGGCTGGTTCACTTGCATCTTCTCCTACATTGTACTGTATCAATGTGAGAATGAACTTTGAAGAAGACGAGTCCGAGCATACAATAATGTAGTGCCGTGATTTCTACCCTGCTTTTCATTGAAAACACTATCTGCATGACCTCCGAACCCTTTATCATGGAGCCCAACACAACAGTACTGATCAGGTTCATTGTACAACATTGTGCAGCCTACATACTAGAACTCTGGTAATTCGAAGTACAATAATGTACTTCGAAGTAACAGTTAGTTATGCTTTTACCTTCGAAAGGATGCCAAATTATGCTCCAAATTTTCAACCACCGAATTATGCCAATAATTATGCCGGCATAATCCACCGGTGCCTAATACTGGCTGAAGATTAATGCTCCAGGCATATTATTTAGGCATGCTACTGGAAATAACCTGGTGAATGTTACCCCTTATAAGCCATGCTGTCATGGTGTCAGAGTTGTTGTAACGTTGCAAAGTGCAACAAGAGTACAAGGGTACAGCATAACACCATCATTGGCATAATTTCAGCATACCGCAATGTAGCATAGGCACTGGCATCATTTGGGCATAATGGAACGCATAATTCAGCAATTTACCCAGCATAATCCGCCAAGGGCTAGTTTGGCTTCAGCACAACGATCATACCGGCACACCATTCCGTCGGTTCGGACACCTGGGGGAATCACGCCAGAGTCTTGCATGCGATGGAGGACGTCAGAAGCACTCGCCGAGCAGTGGATAACGAGTAGGGCTCTGCTATGGATGAGTAGAAGTAACGTAACTTCTACTCATCCATAGCAGAGCCCTACTCGTTATCCACTGCTCGGCGAGTGCTTCTGACGTCCTCCATCGCATGCAAGACTCTGGCGTGATTCCCCCAGGTGTCCGAACCGACGGAATGAGGTGCCGGTATGATCGTAGTTATACAAACATAAAACTACAAACTTCGACGTGAGCTCTGCAGGTCGACCACTCGGGTTGTTTTCCAAACGCGCCAGCCAAATAACGCGAGCAGAACTTTTGCATGGAACGCACCCCATGGCCCACAGAAAAGTCGGCCCACTATGACGTCAATGATCCTTCAATACGCATACACCAACGGAGCCGGAGAGCACTGGGGACAAACAAAAAGTCGCGTCTTCTGGATGGCACCAGTTGTCAAGGGCAACAGCATCTAAATGACTGGAGAGACAGCAGTTTTTCTTTGCTTTTTCTTCAAAGGATTGTTGTCGCTGTTCACGCCTCGTTCTTTCCTCTACAAATCTCCTGTAGTCGTCGAGAGCCTTTTGCTGTGAAATTGGCTGCCGATCTTAGCGATTTTCGATGTAAAAAAGTAGCATTGGTTTGCGTACAGCTAGGTTCAAGAACCGCCTTTCTGCTTCCATAGTTTTCTTACACCACAACTACAAGGTACATTTGTGACCAGTTTTTTTGCGTTTTCTGCCGGCCGATTTGGGGAAAGCCTAACCATGCGTGCAAGTGGCGTATCAGGAACTGGGTGTGGGGGCTGTCGTGGTAGCGAGAGAGTCCTTGATGTGGCTCAAGACTGTCTGAGCGTCGGAAGTCAGTACGACCGAGCGTGTCGTGCCCTCACGGCATCATTGCATCCCGAACCAACGGACATGAAAGACATTAATTCACAAACAACGTTTCATCATTAGGAAAGTTACTTTCTCACTCAAGATTCAAATTTAACGGAAAAAGGACAGCTGCGTCCACAGGCAGCTGCGCACAAAGATCATGCATTGAAATGGCGACCACGACTTTCATTTAAGTGGAATGGTGGAAAAGGAACTAGTGCAACGACAAAATTGAAACGGAGAAGAAGTAACAGCAAGGAGAGCGAATTGCTAAAGTGCACTAGCCTGCACTAGGCTACAGTCTGCAGACTCTGTAGTTTTGACCTCATAGTCATGTAGTCAAGTGGTTACATACACATATACACGTCATACCAATACGTCATCATGGGCATAACAAAAAGAACAGAAAGGAAAGTCATGTGTGAGCAAAACAAATCAAGAGCGCGAGACTACTCACGATATGAAAACATAACGAAAAATTTGTTTCAGAACGAAATGCAAAGACTAGAGAAACGAAGACTACCTTCGAAGCTACTTTGAAGTGGAATGGAGTCAATCCTTAGAAATGAAGATAGGGAGCCAGAATTCTGCTAACCCAAGCGTGGAATCAGCCACAATGTAAGAGAGTAAGAGAGTACAATCATTGTCATGGTATATACGAAAACACTAATGTTAATCATCGTCATGTAATGCAAAATACAAATTAATTATTCAGAATTTATTTTCATGTTTTTCATTGCGACGTTCGCGACAGAGAGGTTCGTGGGAGATTGAGGGCTTGCTTAACAAATCCGTGATGAAGTGTCGGTAGATATTTACCAAGCCCAGAAAGCGAGGTAGAGAGCAGAGTGAGTGTCTGGAGCAGGGTAGTCCACCAAAGCCTTGACTTCCTCTGCCAGTGTCTCAATGCCGCCGCCAGCAGTGGCTTTGACATTGTGACCCAGGAATGTCACGGAGGGCTGCATGAAGACACACTTGCTGACAATGACCACCAGACCATACTATGCCAAGTGCTGGAAGATGGTCTTCAGATGCTTGAGGTGTTCTGCTGTCGAGCGACTCACTACCAGTATAATGTAGACAGTTGACAGCTAAGCCAGGAACGAATAGAGGCCACCACTGGGCAGAAGAGCAGGCCAGCTTCAAGATGACGCCTCACCATGTTTCAACACTGTACCAAGGACAAACAACAAGAGAGAGAAAGGGAGAGAGAGAGAGGGAGAGAGAGGGAGAGAGAGAGAGAGAGAGAGAGAGAGAGAGAGAGAGAGAGAGAGAGAGAGAGAGAGAGAGAGAGAGAGAGAGGGAAAGAGAGCAGGGAGGGTAAGAGAATGAATGATATGCAGACAGACAAGCAAGCCGACAGATATGGTATTCTGCAATAAAAAGACAGGCAGAGACAGAGGGGCGGGGGGGGGGGGGGGTTGAGAATATTTTAGAAGGAAAGAGTGTTTCATTTGACACTCTTCTTCACTCCCATTTTCTGTTTTATTGTTTGTTATTCTCTGCTGTGCTTCAAATTAGGTCCCCGCCCTCTATTCGAAATCATTTTCGATACTTTGCCCTCAATTCGGTGTGCCTGCCATTTGAAGATGCCGAGACCTCTAGTCGGTTGAACATGGCAGGCCGAACCAGCACCATCTCACACCATGCTAGCTCCATTGGCCTGCCAGTGAGATGTGTATCTTGTAAAAATTTATAGAAATGAGAGAGGTGAAGTCGTGATTTTTTTCGTCTACGAGGCTGACCAGATTTTGGCGATGGTTGCACGCTCAAAGAATATACACCATTTTACTGAGAAAAAACGTTTGGCCGGATGTTAGCACAACCGACACGACTTGAAAAGCTGAAGCTCTTCAGCTCAGGTGAGTGCGATTGGTGTTTTCTTGCATGATCTTGTCAGTCTATCAGATCCTTGGTATTCTTAGAAAACTGCTAACCCAAACTAGGGAAAACACATTGGAACGAGTTTTGAAGCAACTATCCACGACTGTAAGTTTTGAAGCAACTATCCACGACTGTAACAAGATAATAATCAGTCAGAAAGGGCAATCACAGGGCATCGTTCCAATGTGTTTTCTTACATTTTACATTCTATTACTGGATCAGTATCCGAGTTTAAATTTTTCAAACCAGGGACTTTGCTACTGGGAAGCAATTCTCAGACGACAAGCCAAGGTGCAGGCAGAATCCCAGCACAGACCGTCCATCACTTTCTCAAACAAACTTGACCACCACACCATCCCTTCTCCCTGGCCCCGACCCGGACCATCCCACCGAAATACTGGATGACAAGGAGATCAGTTATTCTTGTTTAACTCACTGGAATGTTTTCTCAATCTTTTTCTTCTTGTCGGGATTCAGGTCTAGCGCTATCTTCTTTAACTCGGCCAGGGTGACTTCACGCGTTCCAGCTTTGTCCACGGCCCACCTGATAACACCATGCATATTATCCGGTATGTTAGTGGTGCCATGGTCGTTTCTCACGATAAAGTCTTGCATGTCGTCTTTGAAATCGTTGCTGTATTCTGGGTCAATCAGTATTGCAACGGCTTGGGCAAAGTCCTCTGGACACACAGGAGAACAAGGAGGGAACATAAAGAAATACAGCATTTCTCAGAGACATGTCGGTAGCCTATTCACGTTCCCAATACACTGCCCCACACCACAGCAAGTCTAAGCACAGGGACTACAAGTTACGCTATAATGTATATAGTCCTATTCCAAGTCTTTATTTGGTACAGTAAAGAGGTGATAGAAACATAGCAAGTAGGAACAGCTAAAATAACAACAAACAATGTAATGTATTTAGTGACACAAACATCTGGGTGCGGATTATACTCCGGAATATATGCTACGTATTTTGTCTTCCATTCTACACAGATAGGCAGCAACATACTTACCACGCTTAAGGCGGCTGACGCAACCTTCAATGCTTCGGCTGAAGTTTCGAAAGTCAGAAATTTCTGACAAAACTTTCAGTCTGAAAGAGGGACAGAACATATGAAAACGACATGTATTTTCATGTTAATCACGGAGGGTCAGAAGACAACGCGAAGAGGGGATTTTAATAAAGGAATAAATAGAACTAAATCCGCCGTCATCATCATGCATCATTTCGTTGATGCATGGTGATGACGGCAGAGTCAGTCCTCTATACTGCTTTATTCCTTTATGAGAGAGAAATAGAGATACAGAGAGAGAGCGAGAGAGAGAGAGAGAGAGAGAGAGAGAGAGAGAGAGAGAGAGAGAGAGAGAGAGAGAGAGAGAGAGAGAGAGAGAGAGAGAGAGAGAGAGAGAGAGAGAGAGAGAGAGAGAGAGGGGAGAGAGATAGAGATAGTGTGAGCGAGAGAGAAAGAGAAATAGAGAGACAGAGAGAGAGAGAGAGAGAGAGGTAGAGAGAGAGGTAGAGAGAGAGAGAGGTAGAGAGAGAGAGGTAGAGAGAGAGAGAGAGAGAGAGAGAGGAGAGAGGAGAGAGAGAGAGAGAGAGAGAGAGAGAGAGAGAGAGAGAGAGAGAGAGAGAGAGAGAGAGAGAGAGAGAGAGAGAGAGAGAGAGAGAGAGAGAGAGAGGGAGGGAGGGAGAGAGAGAGACAGAGAGAGACAGAAAGAGAGAGACATAGAGAGAGAGAAGAAAATAGTGGTATGGACTTTGAGTAACATTGCTATTAGCATATAAAAGGTAGAATTGAGATCAGGTGTGAAGCAATACCTGTACCATGTACACATGATTTGAATTACAGCAAGTCTATGTGCTTACGGTGATGTTGAAGGTTGTGATGCAACTGCCTCTGCGGGTACTAATGCTGCTGCTGCCGCTGCTGCTGCCGCTGCTGCCGCTGTTGCTGGTGATGATGATGATGGTGCTGGCAGAGGTAATGCAGCTGCTGCTGCTGATTGTCCGGCTGGTGGCACTGCTGCTGCTGGTGGGACTGTTGCTGGTGGCACTGCTGCTGCTGGTGGCACTGCTGCTGCTGCTGGTGGCACTGCTGCTGCTGCTGGTGGCAGTGCTGCTGGTGGTGGCACTGCTGCTGCTGGGGGCACAGCTGCTGCTGGTTGCACTGCTGCTGGTGGTGGAACTGCTGGTGGTGGTGGAACTGCTGCTGCTGCTGGTGGTGGCACTGCTGCTGTTGGTGGCACTGCTGCTGTTGGTGGCACTGCTGCTGCTGGTGGTGGCACTGCTGCTGCTGGTGGTGGCACTGCTGCTGCTAGTGGCACTGCTGCTAGTGGCAATGCTGCTGGTAGCACTGCTGCTGCTAGTGGTGCTGCTGCTGGTGGCACTGCTGCTGCTGCTGCTGGTGGTGGAACTGCTGCTGCTGGTGGTGGAACTGCTGCTGCTGGTGGCACTGCTGCTGCTGCTGCTGCTGCTGGTGGCACTGGTGCTAGTGGCACTGCTGCTGGTGGTGGAACTGCTGCTGCTGGTGCCACTGCTGCTGCTGCTGGTGGTGGCACTGCTGCTGTTGGTGGCACTGCTGCTGGTGGTGGCAATGCTGCTGCTGGTGGTGGCACTGCTGCTGCTAGTGGCACTGCTGCTAGTGGCAATGCTGCTGGTAGCACTGCTGCTGCTAGTGGTGCTGCTGCTGGTGGCACTGCTGCTGCTGCTGCTGCTGGTGGAACTGCTGCTGCTGGTGGCACTGCTGCTGCTGCTGCTGCTGGTGGCACTGGTGCTAGTGGCACTGCTGCTGCTGGTGGAACTGCTGCTGCTGGTGCCACTGCTGCTGCTGGTGCCACTGCTGCTGCTGGTGACACTGGTGCTGGGGACACTGCTCCTGGTGGTGGAACTGCTGCTGCTGGTGGCACTGCTGCTGCTGCTGATGGCACTGCTGCTGCTGTTGGTGGCACTGATGCTGGTGGCACTGCTGCTGCTAGTGGCACTGCTGCTGCTAGTGGCACTGCTGCTGGTGGTGGCATTGGTGCTGGTGGTGGCATTGGTGCTGGTGGTGGCACTGCTGCTGCTAGTGGCACTGCTGCTGGTCGCACTGCTGCTGCTGCTGCTGCTAGTGGCTGCTGAAACCGTTTTAGAAATCCGAAGATATTCAGGCAAGAAACACAAACAAGAGAAAAGTTCAGTCAGGCCCATTCCACAGACGTATACCATAAAATAATAATTATAATCCTCCATTCGTAGTGCATTGCAATTCTATGCTAGCTTTTGATCAAGTAGAATTCTATTGAGTATTGCTGAAAAGAAACTACTTCTCCTTGAAGAAATAATGAAAACTAATAAACGACACACGGTCACTTGATCAGTCAAATCCTCACCGTCACACGATTAAAGTCACAAGATCACAGTCACATGAACATGATCACGGTCACATGATCACAGTCACATGATCCCAATCAAAAGATCACAGTCACATGATCACTGTCACATGATCACAGTCACACAATCACTGTCATATGATCACAGTCACATGATCACAGTCACATGAACATGACCACGGTCACATGATCCCAGTCACACGATCACTGTCACATGATCACGGTCATGATCACTGTCAAATGGTCACGGTCACATGATCACAGTCACATAATCACTGTCACATGATCACAGTCACATGATGGTGTAGATACTGAAGCAAAGTATCTATTCTACCAGCTTGACATTTCAAGTGTATGCTGAAACCATACAAGACAGTGGAAGAAAATCTTCACAACTCACCTCAGCTTGGACAAATGGCACATCCTTACACAGCCAGGGCCAGAAGGACCTCGGGACAATGACCCTCTCCTTGCAGGTAGCACACATTGCCTTGAAGGTCAGAGCGGTGTTCATATCCGACTCATATGCCGTCAAGAAATGCTTCTTGTGCAAGCTGGTCAGCAACACCCACGACGAGTGTACCAGCACCTCTGCAGGACTGCTGCATTCCTTCAGGCGATCCTGGCATGAGTTGGAAGTGCAGGCGAATGACTCACCAACAACTGTGAACTGCTGGTATCCTTGGGTGCTGAGAACTTGTGTGAAGTCAACAATTGCACTCTTCATATCCCAAGCCACATCAGCAAGTATGGATGGTGTATCAGCAGCGCATTCTAAGCGAACACCTGTCGGTGTCCAGCAGAGGCATACTTGACTACAACCAAGCTCCAAATTCAGTGATGCCGCACTGGATGTGAACTGAAGACTGGCTGACTCTTTCTTCATACGATGAATTATGTAGGTGACTAAGCGACCGAACAGTGGTGGAGGAAACAGCATCCCAGGGAAACTGAGGTGGTTAAACGGTAGCTTAAAGGGAACATCATCCTCCAAAACCAACCGTAATGCTTCCTGGTTGCAACAGAACGGGATGAAGAGGTCGGGTAGGCCTGACGTGACAACCGGACATCTGTCTTGTCTGCTGATGCTGCTGCTGTTGCTGCTGCCGCCGTCTCTACTGCCACACCCTCCGGTGCTGGTGGCTGTACTGCTGGTGGCTGTACTGCTGGTGGCTGTACTGCTAGTGGCTGTACTGCTGGTGGCTGTACTGCTGGTGGCTGTTCTGCTGGTGGCTGTACTGCTGGTGGCTGTACTGCTGGTGGCTGTACTGCTGGTGGCTGCACTGCTGGCGGGCTTAAGTTCTGCTGCCAAGTTGAAGTAACACATTGATTTACAGAGAGCTAGCTGGACAACACGGCTGAGAGGATACCAAACTTTCTCTATCAACCTCGCGCTGGCAATTCCCGTACGTCGAAAGTGTTGCACTTCTCTGACTAATGTTGCTGATGTGCTTGGAAAAGCTGTCTCCTTAAGAGGGAAGGTCATCAAGCGTACAAAGTTGAGTAATAGCTGCTGGGGTTCCAGGAAAATGACACTTGAAGTGAGTGGATGCGGGCAGTCACAGCAAAACACTGTGCCGTGTTGCTGAAGGTGGTGCAGTAGATCAGACACTTGTGCAGTGGTGAGATCTTTGCCGCTAACATGCCGACAAAAGTCTACAAACTGTGGGTAGTCCATACTAACAAAACTCTGCTGCTGCCGCTGCTGCTGCTGATCACTACTGGTAGCTTGCATTGCATCATCACTGCACCCAGCCTCTGCATAGCGCAGCATTTCCTTTTGGTGAAGAGAAATAGCTTCTTCTATCTTCACCTGCATCAAGGGAATTCCTTGGACAGGAAAGGCAGACACAATTTTAGAGAGCTCTTGCTGTGCTTCAGCAAGCTGGCTGTGGCGAGATACGCGATCTTGAAGACGGTGATTGTCAACAAAGAAGGGTCCACAGACCTTGACATTGGGTCCGGCCTTTTCAGCCAGCTTGGTCACGGCATTGAAGAACATGTCCTTCTTCTTCTCTATTTGGTCGTCATCGACAAGATCCACATGTGTAACAACAACCATGATGGCTGTGCTACTCTCATCATGATGGTGGCTGCTATTGCTGCTACTGGTCTTACCCGTCTCTGTGTCTGACTGATGCTGATGCTGCTGATGTTGGTGCTGCTGCTGTTGGTGCTGCGGCTGTTGCGGCTGCTGCTGCTGCTGTTGCTGCTGTTGCTGCTGCTGCCGGTGGTGATGCTGGTCAGGGTGTGTGTCTGCTCTATGCTGCAAAGCAATCAGTGACAGACACATGTCAAGGTAGTCAGCCTGCGTCATTCCTGGCAACGGTGTGGAAGTTACAATCTCCTGACCATCGAAGCGGTAGACGTCTTCCGTTACCTCCTCATCCAGGTCACACCTCATGTCAAGAGTCACAATGTACACGCTGTCACAAACGGAAAACGAGATGCTTTGTTGTACCAACATCGGCATCTGTCCACCCATGTCCCACAGCTCAACAAACGCATATGCTGCTTCCGCTTCATTTGAACTGTTATCGACATTGCTGACAGACGAGCGAACTTGAGAGATAACATCTGGTGCCACTTTGGTCAGGTCATTAGCATGAGGAACATTGGCAAACTCATTGTGGACAGCGGATGTAGCTGCTGCTCCACCAGTAGGCGGAAAAGTAGCCAAAGGAATACTCTTTGTTGGTGGAAGTAGTGACCTGGTGAATTTCTTGAGCTTGGACCATGCTGATGGTTGTGCAGCGATGGGTAGCTCTGGAGCCTCCTTGATTTTCTTGACCAGATCTAGAGATGATCGGATACGAGCTGTGAGTAGATTGACAAAGAAACTATGTTGACTGTTGTCCACAAGAACTTGTGCGGCTTCTTGTGTGCCTGTGGCGAGTTGAGAGGAGAGATGCATTCTGAGTCTGGATCGATGGATGGAAATGGAGTCGGTGCTGTCCGCGTTTTCAATGAACTCTTCACCGAGCAGTGCACGGACAAAGCTGGACTTTCCTGTGGCGTACTTGCCGACAAGATACATACGCACGCGTACCACCATGGCCTCGTCCTTGCCACCAATGATGTCCTCAGCCACAGCAGCTGCATTGCAATAAACAATAATAATGCAGCAGCAGCAGTAGCAGCAAGAACAGCAGCAACAGCAGTAGCAGCAACAATCATTAGTACATGTTATCATGGGAAATGGTAGAATGTCTTGAGTACAACAGAGTTTACCAGTCACAAAAGCAATTGAGAGCCCACACCACCCCCCCCCCCCCCCACCCCACCCCGTTTGCTCTTCCTTCTTTTTTCTTTCTTTTTTTTTTACAAAAAAACACACGCCATTTGACGGCACAAAGCAGCAAGACAGCGATGAGACATATGGAATGGCAGGGGTGAGGGAGAGGCAGGGGCAGCTTGACCGACCATAGGGTCTCGGCTTCATTGCAACCCAAGCGCTCCAACTTCTATTCTCTTCCTGTTTGCCCCCCCCCCCCCCGCACCCCTTTTCTCTGTCTGTTTGTCTCTACGTTTCTCTCTATCTATACAGCATACAGCATTGGGTATATCTCTATCTATCTATCTCACTAAAAAGACAGAAAGTGGTCCAGTTTGGATTTTTCATAACTCAAAGTTTCATGCTATTGCAATCAGATGACTGATACTAAAACCTGAGACTAATCACTATGAATATGATCATGTGTGATACTTGGTGCTTAAATTGGTATTACTCTACACGATTCACGAATAACGCCAGCATCACACAGACGCTATAATTATGGTTGCCGGCAATTGCCAAAATTACTCCTTTGTATCTATCTATCTACACAAGAGAGAGAGAGAGAGAGAGAGAGAGAGAGAGAGAGAGAGAGAGAGATTGGAAACTTATCTATCTATCTATCTATCTTATCAATCTGCGGACAGAACTGTTTCGTCCTTTGTGGACTCATCAGCGCAGCACAGAGAAAACGAGCCCGAACCTGGTAGCAATGGAAAATATAATTTCCAAAGCCAGATTTAAACCAGGCCCAAATGTACCTTGCCAGAGTGCCCAAACTGACAAGTCAGTGACCTGTGCATAATGCAAACAGCAAAGGCACTACCCCACATGAGCTATCTATCTATCTCGCTCTCTCTGTCACAGTCTCTGTCTTGTTTTCTCCAAAATCTCGTACGTGAAGACTTTGATAACCAAAAATCATTACTACGAAGAAGTTCCTAAAATCTAGCAGACGGATTGGCACCCACCAGTTCGAAGTTCCTCTTTCTTCATTTCGTTCTTTGTTTCCAAGCAGAAACACAACACACACACAACACCAGAAATGAGTTGATCAATTTACTTTTATCAGTTTATCAGTTACTGGCAGCTGTACACAAGGTCAATGTGTGTGTGTGTGTGTGTGTGTGTTTTGTGTTTTTTGTGAGTACGTGAGTACCGAAGCAGTTGCTGTTTGCCTGTCTCCCTCAGTCTCGGCCATTCTGTGGACCTCGTCGTCGCTGGAAGGACACCATTCACACGGACCTATCCGTGGCTGGAGTGCGTAACTGGTTTGAGTTGGCAAGCGATCGTGGAGAGTGGCGTGGAGTGGTGACAGCAGCAGGTGAGGACAAGGAACCCGCCCCGAAGAGCATCGAGTGCCCAACCTGCAACCGTCTGTTCCGCCGTAGTTCCGACATGGTCCGTCACAAGTGTTCAGCAATCCGTCAGCTCCCGGTATCGGAGCAGCCTGGATCAGTACAGTGTCCAACATGCAACCGATGGCTACGTAGCAGAGGAGGCTTTGCGGTGCATAAGTGTCGGCTAGGCGATGTCGACCAGCCGCCGGCCCCTGCCCCTGCTCCTCTTGTTCCTGGTGTAACTTGCACCAACTGTCAGCGTTCATTTAAATCGGCTGCGGGTCTCAAGCGTCACCGTTGTGGAACCTGTCCAAAGCGCCCTACTGTGGCTGAACGCCAACAATTCAAGTTTCACTGCCAAGTTTGCCACAACCGACGGTTCCGGAGGCGTCAAGATCTGGAACGCCACTTGGAGCATTGCCTTCCTCCCCCCTAACCTCTCTGACAGTACCTCCCTTTGGGGAGCGGCGTGGCCATTTCTGGCAGCTGTCAATAGTAGTAGTAGTAGTGTTTTGTGTGTGTGTGCTTGTGTATGTGTGTGTGTGTGTGTGTGTGTGTGTGTGTGTGTGTGTGTGTGTGTGTGTGTGTGTGTGCGTGTGTGTGTGTGTGTGCGTGTGTGTGTGGCTTGGCCACCTTGGGCGAATGGAGGATTCCCGTCTCCCCAAGCGTGTCCTGTTTGCTGAGGGACTCAACACAAGGCCCAGATACGGTCCCAAGAAACGTTGGACTCACATCGCCGCTGCTGATCTGAGTGCTCGGTGCGTGACAGGTGACTGGTGCGACTTGGCGCAGGACAGACGAAACTGGCGCCTCATGTGCAACCAACCCCGGCCGGCTGTGCCAAAGCCTAGAGTGTTCATTTGCGGCTGTAGCAGGAACTCCCGTTTGCCCAACGATCTAACTCGCCAGAGGAATTACTGCAACTCCTGTTGCTATCATTGCACGAGCAATGGGCATCCAAACGTCCAAAGGTGTGTGTGGGGGGGGGGGGGGAGGGAGGGAGGGTGGCTGTGCAGTGGTATGTGCAGCGATTTCCAATCGAGAGGTTGCGGGTTCGATTCCAGACGATTATGGTCACACACGTCTTTCTTCTTTTTCTCAAATCTTGACTTTTCTTTCATTCTCGTGGGTGGGTACCAACAGCCAGTATATGCCAGCGTATGTGGATGTGTGTATGGAAAAAATGAAAAAGACCAAAAGCAGGGATTCACTGGCCAGAAAAACCACTTCATAGCTGTGTGGTGTAGACCAGGCTGAATAGTGGCGGTCAATTCTTCAGCCATGCAAGCTCTTGAATGGTGCCATCCCAGCACAACTTACTATGGCTTCGGCTGTAGCATCGCTATCATTGCCTCCAGCGATGGGCGTCAAAACGTCAAACGTGTGTGGCCCCTTTTCTCCACAGGAGATACTTGGCCCCTTTTCTCCACAGGAGAAAAGGGGCCAAGTATGAAATGGGTTAATGTCCGGTGATATCCTACAAAGTCGGACGGTACAACATTTAGTGCTTGATGCACAGGATAGGACACGGGTCGATTGCGACATTCGTTTTCCCCAGCCCCCAGGGTCTAAGCTACGTGCCGCTTTTCAGTCCCAAAATTCGTATTTTTGTTCTTAAGTATAAGCCATACGTCAGACTTTTACCTTTTTGACAATCTAACTTAATGGGTACTGGTACATACATACATACATACATACATGCATGCATGCATGCATGCATGCATGCATACATACATACATACATACATACATACAAGACGTTATAAATGCTTAAAAACTTATGAAGAACAACTGAGGTTATGGTGAAAAGGGGCCTAGTTTGTCCTTCACTCTGAACTGACATGTAGAAGCTTTGTGCAAGTGGAATGATGGATTTCAGTACATGAAAACAGTCTAATGACATCATACACTCATTATATGCATGGAGCGCTGTAGAGCTGGCTGATTCACTTCCAGCATTCGGATTATAAGCCGCAGGACGATTTTTGGATGCAATTCAAGGTGCAGCCAACACACCGGAAAACACGGTGTGTGCTGTGGTGCTAAGCCACAAGCAGTTGCAGTGGTTGCAGTTCATCCATTTCAGAGCTCCCAAGTTCATTTTCTCTTTGGTCGGGAGATCTCCCTCAAAGGGGGATAGCCAGGCGGGAGGTAGCCCTTCAAATGAGTGGTTTTCCATCTACTTACTCCGTAAATAAAAACATCGTGATGGATTTTTGATTTTGAGGGACTGGTTTGCGCACAAACTGCCGTGAAATTAGTCACGATTACTTTCTCGGCCTTCCCTGCCATGCCATGAAAGAGATATGATGCAAAGGCAGCGACCATTGACAAGTTCTAGTGCTGAAACGATTACGTTTCCTTAGTGCCTTAGCTGATACCATAACGATCGGCTTATCGGCTAAACGACTATTACTGTACCTACATGTACAGTCATGTACATATTCGTCTCGTACTCGCAACACTTTCGGTGCATGCACGCTTTGTGCAACCCCCCGCCCCCCCCCCCCCCCCCCAAAGGGGGGAAATCCCGAACCGAGCGTAAGTACCATTCTACTCGTTAAGCCGATAAAATCGAAATAACCGCTCGATCTATTTCTTATCAAGTAAGTAACGAGTAATCGATATAATCGTTTCAGCACTCGGGGGTACTGAACCAGTGTGCGTGAAGTTGAGCGTATGTGTAAATTTGCTTATGGCAATAGTAGGGGTGAAAGTTGGCACTGATATCCCGAGTTCGAGTACTCTGATTTTTTCCGATCGAATATTCGAGTATTCAACTATTATTCATCTCCTAAAAATTGCACACCGCCTTAACGCCTTAACATCACATGATACAACCCTGATTGAAGCGAGTGCCAGTCATTTTTCTCGGGTATATTGTTTGGTGGGTCATGTGGGCTCTCTCTCTAGTCGTGAACAAATGTTCACCACACAGTCTGCACATCAATATCTGGCGACTGCTGCTCTGAAACTGCAGATTTCTGTGGTTAATGCATGTACCATGTATGAACGAGTACTCTGATCTATTCCGAGTACGATTATTTTTGAAAAAACCGAGCGAGTACTCGAGTATTCGGTATAATTGTTTCACCCCTAGGCAATAGTGACTTCACTCAATTTTCAAACTCGCTCCAAATGCTCGGATTTTAGTCTTAACCCTTTCACTGCTCCTGTCGACTGCAGTCGACAGCGCATTCATGCACTCCGAGTGCCAGCAGTCCCCAGTGCTGTTGTCGACGCAAGTCGACAGGTAGACCTCACCCAGTTTGGCCCTCTATTTTCGAATATTGGAGATGTTTAGCCGTGGTAGACGGCCACTGGGCCCTGGAAGATGTCCATACCCATCGAAATACGCTGCCAGTAGTATGGGTTGCCATTTGAACAAAATCGAACCAGCGTCGTTGAAAATGCGCATTCGATTTTTGCCGAGCGGCGAGGAAGAAATCGGTTCTCACGCACTTCCACCTCCCAGAGTCGGTGCGAGTATTTTCCCCTTTCCCGTCAACTTTCATTGCACGGAGCAAGGAATTTGGTTCAGACTTGATGCCTAACTATTACTGTAAAACGACAAACTTTCGCGACTTTCGTGAGCAGGGCCGAATCGCGGAAGTTTGACACGCGAATATGAAATTTGTACAATCATCTACTACGCGATGCGTCGATGATCGATTGTGCACTGTCTGTACATACACTGCACAGACTCTGGACTAGCGCTGATCATTGCTTGCACGGCTACAGTCCAAAGCGTGCAGCTGCGGAAAGTAAGCGACCTTCCGTAAATACCAATATTTATTTAGAAACGAGAGCTATCATTTCTCTTCATCCTCCCTCCCCCACCCCTCAGAAACGAACACATACAAACGGTACATAGTATCGATTTTTTTTTCGTTTTTTCTGGACGTGATCACATATACAAACTGTGCATCGATATTTCTCGAGGAACGAACAGGCGCTCAACCCCCTCCCCCCTAAACGACTAGTTTTCGTTTCTAAATAAATATCTCGAGACTCCCTCGATTTAGGCTATGGCCTGTGGAGAATCCAAAAAATTCTATATTTACAGATGGCCCCTAACGTACCAACACTAGTTTTGCTTGTTGTCGTTGGAGTACGGCGACTTGAACCAGAATTGCAGAAGAGAATAAAACGATCGACTGGAGAATGTCTCAGTGTTGTGGAGAGGGTTGTTGAACTTGTTGGAGAGATTGGCCAGCTTGCTGTTGCGTAGATTTTAGTTAGTGTTGTACTGCTCGAAGAAGTCTTCTGAATTTTATCGCCATTAGTGTCGCAGTGGCTCAGCCGTTCGAAGAGAAAGTCTTCCGAAGATCCCTCTTCGAAAACGCCATCCTTTCTCCCAGTACCGTAAAGTCCGCTGCAAACATTAACCCCATTTTTGCAAGATCTGCTGGCCTGTACACACCGACCCCATGCACTGTCACCCCTACTGTACGAAAGTGCATCTCACACCGTAGCGCGAAGAGCGCTTTGCTACGGTAAACTATGTCCACTTTCCTGGTTTCGAAATCGCTCTGGGCACTAGCCACGAGCTAGCTCGTAGTGATTTTATGATGATGGCTGTTTTAATTCGCAAATCCAAACAGGAGTTTCTTCCGATTAATAAGGTAGCGAAGAACAGAGTATTGCAGGAAACAAATACAC